GTATACTGCTGTTTAAGCTATCTCTAGCTAGAACTTTAATAGCAGCTTTGCGTGTGCTAGTATAGGTCCGACTTAATTATATATTGTTTTATAGGCTCTTTTAGCTATACTATTCTACTAGTACTAGTCTACACCTATAACCTTAGCTTAAATTAATTAAGAAAAAAGAATAAACTTTATTTCTTCTCCTACTTACTTAGTAATCTAATTAAGCTGTATTTATCTACACTTTTATTTAGGGCGCTTATTATAGTTAAGAAAAAAGCGTAGCGATTTAATAATAAATCCCTATTATTATAGTATAGGGATAACTTTAATCTAGCCGGTCGAGTTATTAATAATAGTTAGCTAGTAGCAACTACTATTAAAACCCTTATTAAATAGTCCTGCAACGTCTATATAAAGGAGTTCTATTAGATATTCTCCCTTATAACCTAAGCAGTTGTATAGCTTTTCGGTTATTTACCCCTAAAGGCACGGATTATATAGTTTTTACAGCTCTATATTTTAAATACTATAGGCTTGCTTTTTAAGCTATTATAAGTTTATATTGCTTAGGTAAGCTAGTTAGTTATGCTAAAGGGTTAACTATAGGCTAATATAGTAGGCTGGAAAAAAGAGGTTTATTTATAGGTCGAGTGCATAAATACTATAGTATTTGCTTACGGTGTATAAGCTCTTCTTACTTAACTTATTGCAGATACTTGCGCCCTTACTTAAGAACTTAACTTTAGCCCCGTGTTTAAGTAACTAGAGTATAGATATAAGGCTTGCGTACGCGGATAGGATAAAGAGGATATTATTAAAAATAAGCTATTTTCTTCTACCCTATATATTGCATAGTATATTTATTATACCTACTCCTAAAGGAGATATAAATATATTAACGCTCTAAAGTACGGGCCTATAGTATATACCTATTTAAATAAACTTTAAGGCGTTGTTATATATATACTAGGCACAGCTACTATTAATAATTTAGGCGTTGCGGATTAGAAGCGTTTTTATAGTTATTATTGCAAGGGTATAGGTAAGTACAGCGCAATTACTTCTAACGCCTTTTCTAAATACTGTATTAATATCTTCTTCTATAGCCTTTATTACTATAAAGGTGGGCTTTTTTAGGTCTTTTAGGCTACCCGTATTATTATTCTTATTATTAGTAGAGTGCTGTCTTTTTAACAGTTTGTAACTGTTAGCTTATAAGCCCTATACCCTTACCTTATATCCCTTTTTATCTTTCCCTTAGCTTTTTAGCCTTAGATTTTTCTTAAAGTATTTGGTTTTAATATAGTAGGGCTTTTAGCAGAAGAAGTAGTAGGAAATATTATTAATCTTAATTTAGTATATAGTTCTATTAGATAACAGAATAAGGTTTTTCTGGCTAGGCCCCTAAATTAGAGTAAAAGTAGGGAGCGCCTATATATTACTTAATTGTTTTCCTAGCTACCTCTTCCTATATTCTTCCTTAATTACCTTGCCTTTAATATAGTTAAATATAGGTGCAGCCTTAATAATATACCTGTTTACGTCTCTATTATTAATAAGGTCTATCTGCCTAAAGATATAATTACGGAAGCCTTTATATTTAGCGCCCAGCGCGTGTATAAAGAAAAATATGCGCTTAATTTCTAAAGTAATATAATTAGGGTTAAGGAGAAGTTTCTTAGTATAAATCCTTCTAATCTCGGCTTTTAGAGCCTAAGTACTCCTATATTTTTTTTATATAAGGGATATATACTGCTGCTATAGGTTAATATATATCTCTAAACCTTCTAGTTTAAAGTTCTTTTTAACTGCCTATAAAAGAAATTAAACTTAATAGATTTTAAAAGTATTAATCCGTTGCGCGGTATTATATATTAGCTTTGCTGCAATTATTGCCGTATAGAACTTATAGCGGTGCTGCTATTATTATGTATTTTTTTCTTTTATAGGTGGAGTTGCTCCGTTTTCGGCAATAGTAGATATTTAGATAAATTTGTTAACCTTTTAGTTCTACCTAAACTAGTTACTAGCGTTGTCTAATATTAGAATAGTATTATAGAATATATTTAGGCCGAATTGCTTAAACTTTATAATATTAGTTATAGTAAAATTAGGTGCTCTTCTGCGCTAAAAAACTCTAATTTATTACTAAGCGGGCTTAGGGCAATAGAGGTGGCGTAGTTAGATGCAGTGGTGGAGCGTGCCTCTAGGCTAAAAAGCTTAAGGCTTAAAGCTTTACTTAGTTTACTTAAGATAATAGAAAGGCTGTAATTAGATAAGCCTGGCGTAGGTAAATAGAAAGGGGGCTTATAGTTTCTATCTAGTGCCTTATATAGCTTAAAGTGTTTTTTGCACGCCCTAGAGAAGTAGGGAAATTATCGGCAGTTAACCGGGTATTATAACCTAATTCCCTGGAAACTTATAGGTCTATTTAGTCGGAGGTTATAACGCGTAATATTATTGTTATTAGTAATATATTTCTTCCTAGCCTTAAAAGATAGGGCGTCTAGTTCTTGTTTAAACCGGGAGTGCTTAATAGCCCTAGTGCAGGAGGATATAATTAACGCGCGGCGTATACGCTCCTTAAGAGGTAGGCGAAAAAATGCAATTTTAACTGCGCTAACCGATGTTAACAGGAAAAGCGTGCTTTAAATCTAACCCTAAGTCCACTTACGGTCTAGCCGAAAATAAGAAATGTTATTTACTTCTTTTTTTATCTAGCAGTAGGTTTTATTTCGCTGTTTCTTTTATAGTAGTTGCGGTTTAAGAAAGTTAATTCGCGATTTTATTATTAGAGTTAATATCTTTCCCGACCTTTTTTTATATTCTCGGTGTTATTTTATATATATAACGTAGAGCGCATATTATAGGGTTAATTCTGCCTCTTCTATTTTAGTATAGTTTTAATTCGCCTATTACAGGGGTTATTACTATAATATCTACCCCTATTATATTTATAGTGTTTGTGATTTCGTCGGATAAAGGGTAATCCGTTTTGTTCCGAGTTCTTATTAGACTGTTTCGCAGATATTAACTTTATTGCTTATAAAATTATTACTTGCTGCGGAAGCTTAGCTATAGGTATATATCTCTTAAAACCTAAATCGTGCGAGCCGGGCTTATAACCTGTTAAGCAAGTAATTATATCTGCTTTTTTTATTGTCTAGCTATAAATAGGCGGGGTGCCTTATATATATATTATTCTTACCCCTTATTATATCGTTTTAGCCACTATTAACCGTGATATTTAACAATCCCTATAGCCTAACCTTATAATAGTACGCATCTCGTACTAGCTCTAATTCTGCGAATTTGTACCGGTATATAAGTTGTACTAATCCCTATAACGTTTATTAAAATAGATAAATATTCTTATATTAATTAAGCTTCGGATAGGGCAGAGTAGGTTGTATATATGTAGTCCCAGCCACTATAATATTCTCCACCAGCTATCCTAATATTCAACACAGCTACCGTGATATTCAACAACGTTAACTTTATAATAGTACGTATCTCGTACTAGTCTTAATTCTGCCGAATTCGTACTAATCCCCGTGGCGCCAACTTTGGGGTGGTACGCATCTCGTACAGATTCTGCCAGTAAGTTGTATCCATTTCAGAGGGTCCTAAGAAAGGTGGTTCGTGTTCGTTAAGGAACGTTAGTGGCAGTCCTAGTTCTTCGATGGTTCTAGAACTAAGGTGCTGACCTGCGTGGCAAACTTGCGCACTACCCTAGAAATATCGTTGGTGATAACTTCCTAGCATCGTAATAGGACTATATAGCTTTTTATTAGGCCCTTTATAGACTTGAAAAGTAATAGACGATTAACGGTGGTACTGGAATTCTGTCGCGTTATTAAGGTGTCCTCCGCGAAAATCAGACGATAAGACGGCCATGCTGGTGTTATTTTTAGGTAGAAGGGGTCTTAAACGTTAAGCAGTAGTTGTAGAGCCTATTTTATATAGAATTATCAAAATATTAACATGTATAAAGATTTTGGGTCGCTTAGAACTCTAAGTAACGTCCCTTCCTCCGTGCCGGAAAACCCATCGTGCCGGAAAATATAAGGGGTACTTTAACTTTAAGCAACTTCAACTCTCTGCACGTGCTAACATCTATTATAATTGTATATAAGTTATAAAATATAGCTACTCTTACGCCTTTTAGACTTCTTCTACCTAATAAAATACGTTTGTAACATTACTATTGCGCATGCTTTATAATAAGCCTTCTTTTACAGCATAACAGTATTCCTTTGCTAGAGCGCCACTATTAAGCTCTTACCACTCTAAGCACTTATAAAAAGATCTCATCAAAGCCTGAAACCCTTATTCCAATAATAGGAAGTTATTATCAGCTTTGCGCCTACCATCGCGCGCAAATTCATTCAAGGTCGCCACCCCAGTTGGTACCTCCGATCAAAGCAATTGCTAATCCTGGCTAGTGCGGAACAGCCCCTGCACTCACGTTATCAATCATTACCGTGTGTAATTTTACTTGTGGTGGGCTGCAGGGCATGTGGCTATGCGGTCTTGGCAAGCAAGCCAATCCCCGCACTGCGGCCTCGCAATCCAACTCACCCCCTCGGCCGAACTTCTGGTCAGCTCCACTGAGAACAACTACAGAATCGCCACCTTACACTCCTATAGCAAGTGCGGGTCGGCCGCCCTCCCTGCTTGCGAGTTAATAGTAATATGCATTCTCACTTGCATGTTGCCTCTAACCTGTCCAGTACAAAAAGTACGTTGGTGACGGTTGCCCCATGGCCATGTGCCAAAAGTGCTCAAGACTCATCTCAGGCAACAGTCTTGGCAGTGAGCTTACCCAGAATATTCAGACGCCGTGCTAGAACAGCTATCTATGCGACAACAGAGTGGTGCCATTGTTGCTTAATCTGCGATGTTCTGTAAAACTTCCCGTATAGTTTGTTCATCTCTTAGTTGGCCCGGCTGACCAAGCACCCACAATACAGGTAGACAGAGCTTATATGCTGGTGATACCTCATAATTTGATATTGAATGTATATGCATTGACTGCTCTAGATTTTCTAATACAACGTCATTCAGACAATTCGCACGCCAAGCCTCTCTCTCACTACGCAGTTACTCCGAATCAAACCCACTCCAACCCTCCTATACTCGCCACTTACTACTTTAGTTGGTCTGACAACTAATATGTAGTACTTCGTAGCAACCTTTTTGGTCTTCCCGACAACAACACATCGTTCTTCGCAAAGATCCTTGTCCTCCTCGTCTTTGTCCTTCTCAATATCATACTGTATCCATCCTCTTTCTACTCCACCGGAATCTAAGACAGCATATTTCCCACATTGTTTCATTCCGTCTTGGAACTTCCCCACGTCGGCGATCAGTGCATGTTTGCACTCCTCATCAAACCGAAGATTAACAATCCAATCAACCGTGCCAAAACTGATGTCCTTGTCAAAGAACCGAATGCCTCCATTATATGCCATCCATGACCATGATGGCACATGCCAGTCTTCGTACACAATCTTCTCCAGTTTAGTATCAGACGGCTGCCAGAGAAGATTTCTGTGAAGGAAGCTCTCAAAGATACCATAACTGCTCCCGCAGCTTAAAGCACGTGCAATACGGGCTTCTAACCCAGATATGGCCACACATCTGTCAGTCTTTTCTATAAGTCCACGCTTCGAGTAGTCTTCGGAAAGAAAGTGAATGAATTCCATGATACGTTCGTTGCCCGACGTAAGGAGCCGTTTCGGAAAGTATGGGTCGAGCATAAAGTGCCTTTTTCGAAATGAGCTAAAAGAGATGCCAAAGTTAGGAAAACGTTAAATAGTCGGATACAGTTGAGCACTTACCTTTCCAGCCTTGTGAGATTTTCGCAGTGAACCCCTTCACCGCATTCCCAGTATAACAGATTGGCGCTGAAATGGATAGTCCGTCGTGACAAAACTCTTTCTTGCATTACCCATGCTCGTGTGTTGAGTAGAGTCTCCTCCACATCCTTGTCAAAATCGTCCCTACCAGCACAAATATAGAATCGATTGCCTGAGGCATCCTCAACATGAATATAATCATGTTTCATATCTAGCTGAAGAAACCCTGTGTACGAATTTGAGGCCGAAGTTGCAGCAATTGTGCAGTAAGCCTCAGAGAAGACCCTTTCCATGCGTCCAGCTTCGCGTTTCCAATCTTCACCACTGTCACCGTATTGGATAATGCAGAGCGAGTCGATCCAAAGATACGGTACACGAAGTTCCCGGGTAACTTTAACAGCGTCCTGGAACGTCTTTGGCAGTTCCCAGAAACTGAATCCTCCCTGCCGGCGGCTAATATTATCCGAGGTCGAGCAAAAATGTTTCTTGACTTCCGTTGGAATTTCGCCCCAGCAATGGGATAAAGCAGCATATTGTGCTCCAGTCTTGTCTGTAGTGGTGTCGAGATGCAAGACATTCGGATCGTAATGCTGATTATCTGGATCCCCAACCCAGAGAAGCCTGTTTGGTAGCGTTTGGTTCAATTTACTATCAGACATCTTGCACTTTTCATGTTGATCGCACGATCGAAGCCATGCGCGAAGTAGTTCAAACCGTGCAGAGCTGACTGCTTTGGGAGGAACTAATATGTCTGTCTGGATGTGGGTCTTTCTTTTGACCGAACCTTCTGTGGCAAAGTAATGCAGTAAGTAAGGGGTTTGCCTAATACGCATGAAAGATACTAACCTGGATTAGAACATAGCCAGAGAATATCTCAGGTTGTGAAGAAGCAGTTCTGTGTTGATTTGAAGAGGCATAAGGCCCGTATATATAGCCTATGAAAGGGGGGGGGGGGTACTCCCCTGTTCCCCTTTGTTACGGATATGGAAGGATGTAACGCCACTGACACGCTAGTAGTGGCAACCTGAGTGAATATGTTGACCGTTGCTTCCCACTTTCAGTGCCGACCCTTCACGAACGATTCGAACATCGCGTCCCTCATCATTGATGAAAGGGGGCACAAGTGTACGGAGAAGTAGAGCGCAGAATTGACAACTTTTTTCAGTAGCACGGACATCGGAAAGGTTAATATCGCAGTCAGCAGTTAAGATGGAGCTGCAGCAACTACTCAGGGTTTCCGGCCTACGTGCCTAGCCAATTACAACTTCTACAGAGAGGGGTTGGGGTACGGTGGCCTACCCTGCCTACCGCTGCCTACTGCTGCCTCTAATTAGTACTTATGCCTACGCTCCCTATATAGTATATAGTCTGCTCGTACGGCTTCACAAATCAAACAGAGTTCACGTCAATTTGCAACCTAAGTCAACTGCAACACTGCACTGGGGTATGCTGCATCGGTAGCACACTTCCTGGCAAGGCTTGAAAGAAATCTCGAGCGAACTTGCTGTCAAAGGAGCGATCCCAGCCGTCAGGCTGTATTATTATTAGTTCCTGTTCATCCTGAGACATGCAAAAATATCAACTTACGTCCTACAGCACCAAGCAAAGCAGGATCAGCAACGGCCTTGTATATCAATAATTGTAGGTCAACTTACGCCCTACAGCACCAAGCAAAGCAAGATCAGCAGCGGCCTTGTATATCAATATTTGCAGGTCAACTTACGTACTACAGCACCAAGCAAAGCAGGATCAGCAGCGGCCTTGTATATCAGTATTTGCAGGTCAACTTACCTGCTACAGCACGAAGCAAAGCATGATCAGCAGCGGCCTTGTATATCAATAATTGCAGGTCAACTTACGCCCTACAGCACCAAGCAAAGTAGGATCAGCAGCGGCCTTGTATATCAATATCTGCAGGTCAACCTACGTCCTACAGCACCAAGCAAAGCAAGATCAGCAGCGGCCTTGTATATTAATATTTGCAGGTCAACTTACGGACTACAGCACCAAGCAAAGCAAGATCAGCAGCAACCTTGTATATCAATATTTGCAGGTTAACTTACGCCCTACAGCACCAAGCAAAACAGGATCAGCAGCGGCCTTGTATATCAATA